TAAAGATTAAAAAATGCGAAGCTGAATGAAGTGAGGGAGTCTCCCTCGCCAAAGAGGTATAGAATTTTGTTTCGGTTTTTTTAAAAAAATGAGATATATGTATGCTTGGATTGAGCCTTTGCTCACCTATACATAATTAGGGGAGGTAAATTCAAAATTGTTAGTGCAACAATTGCACAAAGAACCAAAATCCCGCCTGGCCTGCCTGTTTCATGAGAGAGTTCTCTAATAAATGAATTAGCAATTCAGTAAGAAGATCGCTCTGGGGCTGATATTGATCGGGCCCAGGCTGCCTGTTTGCTGGGACTGTTGGGGGCATAATTGAGTGTCAGTCTCTGTCTGCGTCGCCCTGCTGGCGCCTGCTGCTTTTGCATTTGCTAATTTTCAGTAACTGTCTTCTGCCTGCTACTCCCAATGCAGCTATATCCGAAGGAGCGGTCAGGCTCCTGCTGGTCAAACCCTCCATCCGACGAGGCTTTATCGATCCTAGGGGAAGGACGCACGGAGGGGAAGTGGGAGCGCTCCTGTCGCCTTTCCAGGGAAGGGAAGGCACCGGTGGAACTTCTCAAGGTGGCCGCCCGCCTCCCCCTCCAAACCCCCTTTTCATCCTCCCTACCTCCCTCTACCCTTTACTTATCTTGGACATCATTTTACGGATTTCTAGGCCATAAAAGCCTAGGAGCAACCTGTCCGCGTGTTTTATTTCGCCGGAAGCAGACGTTCCTGGCACAGAACTTGGCACGCTAGGGGGATTCTGACCCCCGCCCCGAAAGTTAAACTAGTGGAAGATTAAATACAATGCAAACTAAAAAAAAAAAAGGACAGAGCGTGCATTTCCCACAACCCCGGCCGTTGGTTAAACTAAACGTCGCTGCCCATTTGCACGGCTAATTCCGACCCTAAAAACCCAGGAGAAAGTGAGTGGGAACAGTCCCTCTTCCAGGGTCAGCCTTCCAACCCTTCGATCGCTAAGCTCCGCTACTTTGAGCGCCACTTCGGCCCCGCCTACGACAACGGCAGTGGGCGGACCGAGGGGCGGACCGAGGTGGGGTCAGGCGGCGGGGCGGCTGCATTATTTACAGAGCAAGATTGGAGCGTAAGGGGGAGTGGGGACGCTGTACCGTCTGCCCTGCGCACTGGCTTTAAGAAAGTGGCGAGGAACAAGGTCTGCGCGGGGGCAGAGCGCTGCAGCAGCCGTGGGATCGGTTCTCCGCGTGCCCGGTGTGATTGCAGCTGAAGGGGCTTCCTCCTCGCCAGTCCGGCATTTCCAGGGTCCGGCGGGCTCTGCTGGGATCTGGGACTGGAGGTCGGCCGACGCGGGCGGACGGTTCGTTCTTCGGGAGAGTCGATGCGTTTCCCCATCGGAGCCTTTCCTTGCGGTGTCGCAAGGTGAAGCGATCTCGGGACGTCCGGCGGCAAAAAAAAGCCAAGCAGGGGAGTCTTCAATGGAGCGTCACTCCAGTTTCTTCTTCATCTGGCTACAACTGGAGCTGTGCGCCATGGCCATCCTATTGACCAAAGGTGAGCTCCAGAGCCGGAGCGCTTCGGAAAGACGAGGCATCCAAGGGAAGCTCCCCCGATCGCCAGGGGCTGGAGATGCCTCTTTTTCCTAGTCTGGGTCAAGGTTCGGAGTGCGGAGGGTCCGTGGCGGGGCCGTTCTTGGAGCGAAAAGAGCGAGGGAAAGCTGGAAGGGAAAGAAACGCGCTTGCGGGGCGGGCGCTGAGTAGAGGAGAAGTGGGTGGCTGAAGGCCGATGCTCCGTTCCCTCTTTAGGGGCGATCCGTCACTCGCTGACCAGCGGGTGAATCGTGTCCAGGGTAGAGACTGCGTTCCCTACCATGCCCAACTTGTTTTTAAACTTAAGACTTTTTCATCGTTCATCGCGGTGCATGGTTGGAACGCAGTCGGTGTGGTTCTTATGTAGTTTTGTTGCACGGTGGAAAACCTGAGAATTGGATTAATTGTGCAGAGTGAAGGTAACCACGGTCCTGCGTGCCAAAGCAGTGGCGGTGCCTTCGTCCAACCAACCTGTCCCAAATTGGGGGTTTTCGAGGCTTCTGCGCGCGCCCATATGACAGGTACTTTCTCTTTAAAAGCGCCAGTTCTGCAAAAGGCGCTCGGACCTAGGGCAACCCCTGAAGAGAAAATGAAATGGTCAGCGAGGGTTTAGGATGAGATTTTGCAACTCTAAACCCGATTGCCGCTTCCACAGGAGAACTTTGAAAAACGGCTGGGAAGATCACTGGGGAGTTGCCTGGGGAGGTGGCGGGCGTTTTGAGTACGGGAATGCCTTTCTCCCGTGATCAAAGACTCTAAGAAACTGGCCAGTCTAAGATGTAGGGCGCCTTGGGAGCAGAGGGAGTGTAGTCCCGAGGATCTGAAATCAGGCTCAACCCGCACCTCCGGTTCTGGGTTGTGATTAAAGCCCGGGAAGGTCTTGCCTCCTGTGTAAACCTGTCGAACCTTGGGAGGGTCGGGACTCTTAATGCCATCCAAGGGCTTCCAAAGCTGCGGCCCTATCTTCTAATCCTGGGCGCGCAGCAGGACTTGCTCTCAAGGATGCATGAGACGAAGCGCACAACCCTGTAGCGCCGCCGACAGTTCGGGATCCTCCAAGGTCGACCCGGCGAAGCCAGCCGGGCTTCCTGGCCAGCAGTCATGCTAAGTGGCGGGCGGACCACTAAGGCTACTTGGAAAGCTCCGAGGAAGAGAAGATCCGAAGGGGCCGGTCTCCCTCCTCTCCCCTTAAACCATAAACTTTCGGAGCAAGGGTCTTTCTTAGGAAAGGGTCTGCGTCGTGCGTCGCCGCCCTTCAGTGGCTTCTGCCGGACCAGGCGGGGTTGCCAGTGTGGCGGCGGCCGCCCTCGCAGCGGGTAAATCCAGTAGCATCCCGCCAGCCGTCCAGCCTCGCCACTTCCCCGGGGCAGTTCCCCTCCCCTTGGCCGGCCTGGCCTCTCTTGTTCGGCCTCTCCCTCCCCGGCTGGCGAGCTGCATGCGCTGGGCCCAGCGCGGCCTTTGAAGAGGGCTGCCAAGGCTTTGTGAGGGTGTCGGGTTTCTTCCCGGGCCGAGGCGCGCAGGCCAGAACAAGCTCGCCTGTTCTTGGAAGTGGTGACGGGCTTGGATTTCCTGCGCTCCCTCTCCGCCTCCCGCGTGGCTTCCTCCCTCCTCGCCCCCGGCCTCATTGATGCGAAACAACCCTCGGGGCAAGCGGTTGTCAAAATGTTTTGCTTAGGCCATCTTTAGTGTGCTTCGGAACTTTTTTAGCCTGGCTCTTTGGAGCTGAGAGGTTAATTCTCTTTCTCACACATTTCAACCTCCCAAATCAAGCTGAGCAGGAGATTCCTGTCGTTGAGGAGCAACTGGCCAGAAGGCAGAATCCTGCACCCTTTTCTCTTTCATGGCTTCCCTGGAAGGGGGAGAGTGAAGGGCAGATCCATCTAAAAATCATTTAGATTCAAGTTTGTAGTCAAACATAATTTGCTTTGTTTTGGCTTAGGGGGAAACCTGCCTGCCAAGAATTTATGCCATAAATGGTTGTTTATGGCACAACCACCAAGCAGTGTAATGTGCAGATCCAGTCTTTTCCAGACTGACATCCCTTACCAGTTTCCTTGATGTTGGCTAGCCAGAGGCTTAGCTTGAAATAAATTAACTCCACACCACTCAGCGATTTTGTGAGGCTGGCAGCATTTAAGGGTAAATTGTTTCTCAGACAATCGGCAAAAGTTTTGGGGTGTTCCTACAACAGTCAGCACAAAACATTTTTTTTCCTCCTCCCTTTTTAGAAATAAAAGGTACTGTTGAAGCAGGGGAGAGAATGGGAAAGTTGACGTTTCCCATAATTGCCATGTTTCATGGAGAGGAGGTTAAAGGATAAGCAAGCACAGGGTTGATGTGCTATAGTATTTATTTATTTTGGAAAGAAGGGTGTAATTAACCCCAAATAACAGCCCTTGAAGCCAGCAGAGGGAAGTTTTCTGGCCCCATCAAAGAGGGACTAAGAAGGGAGTGACTGGGAATAATGTACAGTTGCAGATACTGAAACTATGTGCCTGATAATGATATAATTAGGGGATCACAGACTTCTGGCTGCTGTCGACTTCAAACGCTTTAAGAGAAGCCTGCAGTCTCTCCTGAAGCCACCTTGACTAAAAGCAGACATTTTTCCTTAATAGCTACATACAGTAACAAGAAAGAAGAGGTGAACAGAAAGGGCATTGTTCACCTCTTGAAAATACCAAATACCCTCTCTGGCCTTTTGCATAGTTCAGAAAGAATCTTTATGAATTGACAGAAATAACTATGCCTCCCCCCAAAATACAATATTACAAAATCTCTGCTCTTTTCCATTCAATTTTTTTTTTTTTAAAAAAAAGGCAAATACGAAAACCTGAGTCAAATTAAATCAGAACTGTAATAACTTGATGACTGCTCTATCAGGTTTTGTTTATGAGCCAGCCTTGGGGTCAGAGAAAAGATAAGTTTTTCAAAGAGGGTCATATAAGCTATTAAAACAGAAACAGGGTCTTATGGTTTGTTTCCTTTGCATGTTACTTCCTGAGACAGTGTGTGGGGAGAGGGCACGTGTGCAATTTCCCTCTTAAATGTTTTTATATTTATCCATGGATAGTCAGTGTAAGATGTTCAGTTGTCTGCTTGCTAGATAACATTTGCTTCAATTACCTTTTTTAAAAAGGGGGATGCAAAATTGGGAAAACAAAACTTTGAGAGAAAGAGAAAAATCTAGATAAGTATAAGGGAATAAGGGGATAAGATAAGGGAAACTGGGCTTTAGCATCAGGACATCAGGAATAAGATCTGATAAATTTTAACTTATCACCCACATTGTATACAACCTTCTATTTTTATTTTCTATTTTTTCTTATTACAGTTATCCATTTGGGTGAAGAATCTTAATGTTTGTTTTGCTTACCAATTTCCAGGCAAAGGAGAGGTGAAATGTTTTCTGTCAAAATAGCTCTTCAAATGCTAGTTGTAAGTTTTTGAACTTCCGTGAATTTAACAGGAAGACTTCAGAGCATGATACACACAGGAAACACACAAGGCTTAGAACTCAATGGACTTGATATTACATCTTTCAAAAAAAAAAAAAAAGGCTGCCGGTGTATTTTCTTTCTCTCTAGTAAGATGTGCATGGATATGTGCATTGTAATCTCTTAATTGCTTTGTAAAATAGAATTCTAAAGCCTTTTTAAAAAAAAATGTATTGGATGTCTTTATAGCTGATTTTAAAAAAGGTTAAGAAAAACATATAGTTCTTTCAATAATGATAATTTCTGAAAGTTGAGAATAGCCCAGCTTTTCTTCCCACTTCTGTTCATACTTTTTTTCAGATTTAAACCAAAATATTTTAAAAAGAGTAACATTTCTGTGTCTAATAAAATGAATCTCATTTTTGAAGACTATGAAACGAAGATGTTTTTATGAAGGGAACTTTTTTTAACTTCCTTTATAAATCTTTGTGGTTTCCTGTGCATTTTTCTTTTAGTCCAAGAGCAGAGGGTTTTCAGGTTAAATGTTTACCTTTTTTGACCACATGATGGACTGAGTGAATGAGGAACTGGTAGTGGTAGAGGAAAGTTTAATTTTACCATTGCATCCTTCCTTCCATTGAAAGAAGTTGATTTTGGCAAGTAGAAACTACACTTGTAAACAAAATTTCCTGTTTTAAAATGGAGTTAAAAGCACTTCTACACAAGGAATTCCTTTTTGAAAAAAAGATTCTGTGTTGAACCTAATGCTTCTCTTTTTTGTCTCAGATGAATTTCTCAATATCTTTTTAGGGACAAAGTTCTCAGTTAAGTTCAGAAAGATGACTGTAGATTTTTCTCTGTTTAGATTCTTTTCATGTGTTATACAGTGATATATAGTTGTGAGGAATGCAATGTCCATTGTGTGTATATAATTTTTTTATCCCACCTTTGTTGTTTTTATAAATAACTCAAAGTGGAGAACAGACCTAATATATTTTTTCGTCTTCCTGTTTTCCCCACAACAACAACCCTGTGATGAGGGATGGGGTAAGAAAAAGTGACTGACCCAAAATCACAAGCTGGTTTTCATGCTTAAGGTGGGATTACGGTCTTCTAGCATGGTGTCTTCAGTACGTAAATCCTGTCATATTTTATCAACTTTGGAATTAACTTAATGGATCTTAGATTTAATGCTGGATGCTATGATGCATCTGCCATTATAGAAAAATGATATAAATAATAAGTAGGTAGGGCGTGCAATCCTATGCACCCAGACAGAAATACTGAATGTTAATAAGTGGCCTGCTTAATAGATTTTGACCAGGAGAATCTGTTTTGTAAGACATATTATATAAGTAACTTGGTCTTTGTATGCAACTGAGCTGTGAGAACTTAAACTGCTACTGGGGTTCAACAACTGAAGTATATGTGGATGTTTCTAGTGCTATTAGAAACCCTTAAATCCTTTTCATACAACCCCTAATTATTCTGACACTATTTGTATATAATTCTTTGTTCCATTGTTTGATTGGGTGGCCTATATATGTATGTCACAGATTCTATGGTTTGGAAATAGCAAATATTGTCAATGTACCAGCTTCTTCTTCTTCTTTGTCTAGTATTTGTACATCATACTTACTTCACACTAGTATCAGTTTGTTTTCCATGGAGCTCCCTAAGAATGCCTCAAATACTTTAGCAGATAGTCTTAATTGTTGATCATCATTAATCCATGCTTGTGTGCCAATAATAGATCGCTTATTTACGGTGGAAAAACTGAAATCTGACATTCCAATTATAGTATCTTGAAGTCCTGCTCATACCACATAAGTCCTGCTCATACCACATAAGTCAAATCATCCCCTCAGTTGCTCTGGGATTAAAACTCTCAGAACTATTAATTTTGTTGACCAAGAATTCTGAGAACTCTAGGTCAATGTATCATGAAAGTACCACGCTGGTGTAAATTGACCCAGAACTATTTCAAAGAGGATAGTTACTGTACTTTCACCTTGGCAGACTTGAAACAACTGGTTAGGGATAGATCCGTCATTATCTATGTGATCCTAGGATTGATGGCTCATAATAATCTATCAGTGAAATTATGCTATTCTATTGCCGTACACTTTCCTTAACATTTCTGTATTGAATGCAATAAATACCTCAGTCTTTGGCAAAGACTTTTATAAAAGCAAGCACTTCTGAATACCTGCTGGCTAACGGGGAGCTTCCCTTTTTATTTTGTAACAGGTGAAATCAGATGCTATTGTGATGCTGCACATTGTGTTGCAACAGGCTATATGTGCAAATCAGAGCTGAGTGCTTGCTTCTCTAGACTGCTTGACCCACAAAACAGCCATTCTCCACTGACTCATGGCTGCTTGGACTCCTTTGCAAGCACCCTGGATATTTGTCAAGTTAACATAGCCCAAAACCACTCTGGCATTGCCATACCCACGTTGGAGTGTTGTCATGAGGATATGTGCAATTACAGAGGCCTCTATGATGTTCTGTCTACTTCCAGAGGTGACCCATTGGGTAAGTCACATTCTTATTCTGTATTGGCAACAGAGAAGATCTTGTTAGCCTACTAATGATTTTAGGCTTAAGCAAAGCGGAGAAGGAAGCATGTGGCAGGGAAACCTTTGCCAAGAAGCTTTTACATCTGCATTTGCATCAGACACAAAGCTTGCGCTTTTTTATTTGTATCTCACTTGGCGTTTTGCCAGAGGATCCATGTCTTGGGTGGAGTGCTTGCTTTCATCACAATGTAGTGCATTCTAGACTGGATAAAATAAACTATTAGACTAAAATTAATTACAGTATGTTAAATGTGAATGAAAAGGAAATAACCAAAATTTTAATTTTCTAACGATGGAGCTCAGCTTCTTGTACTAATCAGTGCTAAAACAGATCAGAGATAGGAAAAGGTAACTGAAGAAATTTAACAATACAGAAATAATTAATTTGACCCAACAAAACTTCTGGTGCAACTCTGTTGTTGCTTTGCAGATTGAAGAAGTGCAGTGTCTCATAGTTACTGGGATATCCATTTAAATTGATGCTGTATCCCCAGCAACATCATTGATGTTTTGATAAATGGAAGAATATCCATTACTTGAACTGCAGTCTTCAAGGATGCCTCTTAATTGTTTCAAATTTAGTGATTATTTTCCTCAATTGCATATTCTCTTCTCTAAATGTCTGGATTTTCATGTGGGTCACATTATGTTGTTTTACTTAATATCATGAAGGAAGTTACAAACTAAAATATATCCGGTTGGGAAAAGAGGGTGAAACTGTGTTCTTCATATTATTGAATTGAACATTGCAGCTATGTTAAAAGCTGTTGAGTTCAGCAAAATGTAGAGACTTTTTGTTTCTTGATAGCTAAATTTTTTTAGTTAGATTTTTTAATTATTTTGATCATCTATTATCAAGTTGGTGTCAATTTAGGAACCACATGCTGTAGATATTCTCTGTGACAATTAGATCTACATTAATTTTATTTCAATCCTGAACCCTATAAATCATGTAGAAACTGTCATTTTTGTTTTAAAAAAATCGTAATAATCATAATTGGTTGTCTTTGGGCTGATAAAGCAAAAGCTTAATTTAATTAGGACAATGCTGAACCTTTTAATTTTGAAAAGGCACAAATCTGCATTTGTGCTGGTTTACAGAAGATAAAATTTAATAACCTATAACACTTTAGGGATTTCCAATTCCTTTTGAGCTTTTATGCTATATGTAATTATTTATGGTTAAAGAATCACTGCTAAAATACTTTGTAGTGTCATGTTCGAGTTCTTCTAAAATGCGATCTAAAGCTTTCTTAATTTGCAAACCATTTCACATATTTAATTTATCATTCTAATCAAATCAGGCTGAGACAGCAACTTGTGCAGACTCCCTAAACTATGTTGGGTTTCTTGCTTGTACAGAAAGAGAGCAAGTTGCTTCAGCTAGTTATTGCATCTCTAATGGGTACTTTTGTTTTAGATACATAATTTGTTTGCATTTCAGTAAGGTGTATATAATTTATTGAGAAGATGGAACTGAAATTCCCTCTCCTTCCAATTTGCTATACTTTTGCTTACAGGGGTGCATTGTTCAAATAGGACAACCTGGGATGCAGCATCCTTATCTAGTGTTTCTGGAGCCATACATTAAGTACTCAAATTATAAAGGGAAACCTTTACAGGTAGTCCTTGAGTTATGACCAGCCATGGATCACCTTGTCCAAAATATATTCACACATTCCAAAGTTATGAAGTCCCTATGGTCACATTTCAAATGCTTGATATTTTGCCCACATTTGGTCATGGAATTGCAGTTTATGATAACACCCCCCCCATCTTTAAAGATTTTATTAGATTATAGAATAAAATACAAAAGCAAATAGGAGGACACAGTGGGGAGGAAAAGGAAGCGGAAAAGGAAAAGTGAGGTCGGGAGGGAGAAAAGAAAAAAAAAGTTGACTCAACTCCCTCCGTTGCAAGTTCCAAGTTTATGGAAAACTTTTTACTTTTCCATAATAATATAAACTATAACAACAAATCACAGTTTTATGATTTTTTTTCTATGACTTACTTCTGGTTTGAGAACATTGGGTTCACTTAATGACCACAACGTTTGCCTAATGTGATTCATTTAACAACTGCTGCAAAAAAAAACAGGGTCCTAAAATGGAATGATTTGCTTTATGATTTTTGCGGCTGGTAGTGAGTAGGCTCCATTGCTGTCATAAATCAAGGATTACCTGTAATACCTGTGATTTCAAATGATGGGGACTAATAATGAAGTTTTTCTAGTATATTCATTGAACAATGTGTCTTACTAGTTTTTAAATCTCCTGTCCTTCTTCCCCCACCCTGGCCCCCCCCGCTTTCCTTCTTTGCAGGACAAGGGAGCAGATACCAACATGACAATAGCCGAAACCTCCTCACTAAAGTTCAGGAACTTACCTCCTCAAAGGAATTGTGGTTCAGGGCTGCTGTCATCGCTGTCCCCATCGCAGGTGGACTGATCTTGGTGCTTCTCATCATGCTAGCATTGCGTATGCTCAGAAGTGAAAATAAACAACTTCAGGACCAGCGGCAACAGATGCTCTCGCGGTTGCACTACAGCTTCCATGGACATCATTCCAAAAAAGGACAAATGGCGAAGCTAGACTTGGAATGCATGGTGCCTGTCACAGGTCTTGAGAACTGTTGCATGACCTGTGAGAAGATGCGACAGCCAGACTTCAGTAATGACAGAATACTTTCACTTGTCCACTGGGGCATGTATGGAGGGCATGGAAAGCTGGAATTTGTGTGATCACTTCTTTTCTGCTTTTTTAAAATATCAGTATATATATATTAAAATTTTGTCCCTAAAATTACTAGGATTTTTTTTCGAAGGCTGTTGGGTTCTGCTGGACAGGAGCACTTTATATGGGAGTGGGAGAGAAGCCTACAGTCATTAGTCCAAAAAAAAAAAAAAAGGACCTCTGCAGATGAAACATTGGATTTGTCTTCTGAAGGATTCCAAAAGAGATCTCTTATTTGCACAGAGTAAATACACTTGATGTATTGTTTGTTTTAAAATTATGAAAGCCAATTTGAGAAGTTGTACATGCTGTTACCACAGTTGTCTGAACTGTAGGGAAATGGGTGGAGTAATTATACTATTAAATGGTATGCACATTCTGATGTAAAGATTTTTTTAAAAAACACACAAATATATAGATATCTATTTTGGCTGAAACTTATTTTGTAGTATTGTGGATAAACTATTACTCTAGGGAACAGTCCCTCGATTGTACAGTTTCTTTATAGATTTTCCACTCTCAACAGTTTGACCTGTTAAGCCCATATAAATTAACGTGCATCCTCTTATTTTCGACCAATCAGAAGAGTTTTCTTTTGTCAGTCACTGATTTTCTGGCTATAAAGATGGACAAATTCATTCTATGTATAAGAGGGGGTATAGTTTGGAAGATAAATATTACAATTTCTGCATCATACTGAATGTACATTCTAATGTCGAAGAGATATTCCGAGATTTCTAGGACAGAATATTTTGATTAAATTGGATAGACTCTTACTTTCCAAAAAGAAAAAGAGAATCCAGGCTATTGAACACTCTTGGACCTTTGACATTGCTTGTCCGAAAAGGTTAATGGATATTGGGGGGGAAATGCTTGTGGTTAGTATGAATTTACATATAACTATGGTTAAAGAGTAACTTGTGTGGTAAGACCAAGACTAAGGCAGTGCAACTTCTCCCCATCCCCATACATACATACACACACATATACATGCATGCACAGTGAACAGACTTCAACTGCTCTTTTCAACTGCCTAAATAAATAACATAACCTAGTTTGCATAGCATGCTGAACCAAAACCTGCATAACTCCATTTTACATTAAAATGGTTGTGTGAAGCTGGCTGCTGCATGATGTGAGACTAAAAATAATCTTTCTTGGATGAATGATGGGCCAAAACTGAAATAAGGATTTTTCAGAGACAGATGAACAGGATTCCTTCTTTCCAGACTACAATGACACAATTAACTGTAATGCAAGAACACTAATTAAATGCATTGCTACGGCAGGACCTGGCCTGCAAGTCATCACTCAAGACTTATTCCGGTATATAAAAAGTAAGTAAGTCGGGAAGAAAATTAGCCTTGTTGTTCATGGATTTTTCGTACCACTAGAACAAGAGGTAATTGCTCCCAATTGTATCTTGGAACAGCTTTATTGCTTGGTTTTATGACACACAATGCAACCAGGTTTTTATGGCCTGACTATGTTTATAGGTAGAAGTGGATCAAAAAAACTGCTTTGCTTTTGGCAGAACAGGACAAATCTGAGCTGCGTGGCCTGAGGTGAATTTACTCTAAATAGAGCAGGCCTTGCCATCTATTTCAGCGGCTTCTCCTTTTAGGTAGGCCTGCAAACTTGCTATTCTTTCTATGTAGTTTCGTCATTAGCAACAATATCTGTAGAAAACAGTACCGAATAGGATGCCTTTCGGAACATCGTGTGACTGTAATCTAGAAACGCAAACAATTTTGCTCATTTTGAACATATAGAGAAAACTCTAGAATTAGCTGGGGGACTCCGTTTTCAGCCACAAGAATGGATAATCCTGAAGAGCTTTCCTTGACTGAGCTGAGGAAAGCTGTTGGGAGTCCCACTTTAGCAAGAGTTGGAGGGCTGCAGATTCCCTATTTCCGTTAAGAGTGCATGGGAAAGTGAAGGGGTGGAGAATCCTTGAATATGTACGACAATATTCACAATTCAAGTACCATGGCTTGCATACTTAGATGTCCCAGACGGGTCATGGCAGAAGTTTGCATAGTGATGAAGTTTGCCTTCATCATTTTGCTTTGCTACTATTCCTCCTCTGGAGCAGAACTGCCAGCAGCAGAGCAAATAATTAAACTTTGGAACTGGAGGTAGAATTTTATTTTTTATTTTATCTTAATAGGATATGCCTAAAATATCTTTCATTGCAAGGAAAAAGGGGGCATACAAAGGCATGAGGGAAATCAACACAATTATTAAAATGAGGCAAATCAACCTACTAAAATCCCAGAGTACATAGAGGCAACATTAGTCATTTTAAATATTTTGGAAAATTAAAAAAAGAAATGGTACCAAGAAGTTTACATTATTAGTGTCACAGATTTACAGATCTTGGGCAGTTGTTCCCATCATCAGATTTTTGCCTGAGTCCTTCCAAGATCTCTCACAGGAGCTAGTAGTCTATCTCTAGATGCCTATTTCTGCACAAATCAAGAGAAGCTTGAAAAAGTTATGCTGTTACGCACAAGAACTGCATCACACAATATGAAAAAGAGGTTAGTGGGAAAGAGGTTTCCGTGTGCTTCCCTGACTTTTCATTGGCCTTAAAAAACAGCCAATTGTGTGGTTTGGATAACAATTGTATCCATGGGTTCCACAGACCCAGAGCAGGCATGGAAGCTGATTTAAAAATCTACCATAGGAAAGCTAAAGGATCAAGCAAGATGTACAATAGTTTAAAAAACCATAATATAGAGCAAATGTTTTCTTAAACACAGACTTACTAACCTGAATGCAAGGCATAAAATGGGACATAATCATGAGTTCAATCTAATTATTAATTAGGTGGATAGTCCTCTTATATAATTTCCTCAAAAGTTAAAACAAGCTGAATTGATAATAGTGCTAGACATCGCATGCAAGGAGTGAGTTTTTATACCCACGAACTGGGTATCTCAGCAAAAAAACTAATTTTCCAGGGCTTGAAATATATTTTTACTGCCCTTTTGAGTTTCTTGGGACTTGCTTGCAAATGAACATAACTTCCTATCTTCTTAGTGTCCCTTTTCTCAATTCTACCTCTGTCTTCATTTTTGTGTTTTTCTTTCCCAAGGCAACAATACTTGTGTCTGCTAATTCCAGGTTCTTCAGCAATTGTGTCTCTCTTCTTCACTCCTGCCTAACTGGTTCTGCTAAAAAGCACCTACCTTGTGTGTGTGTTGTGGGATGAGGTGGGGGTGGGTTGACCTTCTTCTGAAATTCCAACTGTGTCTGCTGTGGAAATCACAAAGTTCCCCTCCTCAAAAGGGCCAGTAAATCTGGTTTCAATACAGCACTGAGTGATTACAAGCTGAACAGGGAGCTTGAAAATAACCAGCCTCCATTGGTAGCTGGGGCGCTGGGTAGACTTATCTGGGTGGCGAATCTGGGGTTTGCTGGCTCTTGGTATTCCAGTGTTTACAGCTGCCAAAGCCAATAAATTCAGTCCAGATTAATTCTCTTGTAAAGGATCAGCATCAGTGCATGAAAACTTCAAGGTGGAGTTTCTGCTTTTCCTTGTTTTAGGACAAAGAGAGTGAGAGCTGCCCCCACCCCAGCTCAAGTTTTTTTCTTCCCTTCTTGCAGGCTATTGAACACAAAACCTTTGTTCTTCAAAACATAAACCGAGAGCCATTTTGTTAGATAAATCTTCCAGGATTATTATTATTAGTGGTATAATTTTGTTTTAAGTATTTAAGTATTTTGCTATTCAAAATAAAACATTGCAGGGTAACTTATGATCAAAATATGAGTACAAACACACATACAGAAAAAAAAAGGACAGAATGTTTACAGAATCTCATGCTAGAGTAGTGTAGGCACTGTAAAGAGAGACAATGTGATGTACATATTTAACTATCTGATGTAAACAAGCTGGATGGATGGATGGAAAGAAGGAAGGAAAGGAAGGAAGAGAAAGGAAGGAAGGAAGAAAAAGGAAGGAAGGAAGAGAGAGAGAAAGGAAGGAAGGAAGAGAAAGGAAGGAAGGAAGGAAGGAAGGAAGGAAGGAAGGAAGGAAGGAAGGAAGGAAGGAAGGAAGGAGTCAGGACAGGACAAATCCAATGTCCTCCACAGGACAAATTAAAGAGAGGATAGAGGTATAAGAGCAGATGAAGTGTCACCTGTGTAGTGTGACCAATAAAAATTGGTTTAAAAAACCCCTCCGAAAACCTTACAATCATTTTATATATAAACATTTAGAAATAAGTACTTTTTAGGAGAAGTGGGTAAATCTGTCGATTTGGAAAACCAAACTCAAGATCAGAACAATTTATTTATTTATTTTAATTTATTATTCATATTTCTATGCTGCCCACTCTCTGAGGACTCTGGGCAGCTTACACCAAAGACAATATACTAAATAGCATATTGCCCCCAACAATCTGGGTCCTCATTTTACCCACCTCGGAATTAGGTGATAATTAGAATTGTTTTTGATAAAATAGTCCAAATCCAACATTCACGTCCTGAATTGGATTTCAGGATTCAGCCTTGTAAAACAAAACAAAACAAAAATTAAAGTATGCACTGCTCCAATTTCATTTAGAGGTTGCTTCACTTAATGACCAAGTTGCTGTTCCCAGTTATAGGATTGCCTATATTTGTCTTCTCTTATGAAATGATAGAAGCTGCACGTGGATATATATATGTACTAAATAAGAACAGATATTGTTAAGTTGGGTGAATGAGGACGCAGCAAGCCAGGCTGTGAGTGACAACAGCTCTTTATTGTAGGGTGAGAACCCAGCAACTGACCAGGGGAAACAGCTCCCTTTATATACCTTGCAGCTGTGGTGGTCAGCCAATCAGCTGATGGTCAGTTAATTCAAACTGCCCACCCAAATCTACATACATAACAGATATGCTGTTGGGATACTTATTCTAACAGCTTTCTCTAAATGTGGCCCCAGCAAGCATGTGGAACCTTCTTTCTCATATCAACTGGGAATAACAAGAGAAACCCAATGCAGCTAATAGCTCAGCTATCTTGTCAGTTGTCTTTTTTCCTTCTGAATGTATTTTACACAATGCAGGAAACTTTCTCTGAAATGGCTATGTTGCTTAGTACCCTCTGTGGAATTGTATATGTTCCCTCAGAGCCCTTCCCAAGATTTATGCAACTTTGATTTACTGGCTATTTTCCATGGCTATCAGCAGTGAATTATTGTCATTCAACAGGCTCCTTAGATTTTTAATGAACCAAAGCATGTTTCACAAGCAGAAGTGTATAAAGCTAGAGTCCAGTTCCTGCCTCAATCTTTCAAAGTGGATTACTCTGTGCCCATTGGACTAGCCAGTATATACTTCCCATTGGTGCACAAAGATTGTAATATGCCAAACCGGCAGCAACTGAATTGGGGGGATTTTCTCTGTCTTTTTAACTTTATTTTTGTGTGGACTTTGAGGTGGATTTT